CACAATCATTTGCACCGCCCGCCCCCGCCCCCGCAGCTGGTACACACCACCCACCTTCTCAGTGTAATTCCATCATGATTTTGGTTCCATCAACGTTTAGTGGTCACATTGTCTTGACGAGATACACGCCATTCACTGCCGAGCCATGCAGTACAAAGGAGTTCTGAGATTATTTTTTGATTTCTGTCCCAACTTGAAGTTTCCCCCCAAATAACGATCATCTTATTTGTTTGTTTGCTTAGGTTTTCACATCATTATTAATTTAGCCTCAAATTCTCTCCCAGTTGGCTACATACCTTCTCAATAAGTTCAAAAAAACATTATGTCTTTCATCAATTCATCTTTTGGGAGACATCACACCCAGAACCTTGTGACCTGCTCGGGGTTCTAGAATGGCTGTTCTCTGTGCCTACCGCACAGCTGCTACCTGAGGACACCCTATCATTATCCTGGGGATCCTTTTACCTTACTCTTCAGTTAGGTGTCTTGCTTCCTGTATCCCAGCTTTCCTCTTTCTTGCTCTACTACCTCATTTTGGCGGCATACCTTCTCCTCTAGTACTTTTTTTTTTTCTTTTGGGAAACACAGCATAAAATTTATCAGTCTAACCATTTATAAGTGTAAAGTTCAGTGGGATTAAGTATATTGACATTGTGAAACCATCACCACTGTCCATCTCCAGAGCTCTTTTCATCTCCCCAAACTGACACTCTGTACCCATTAAACAACAATTCCTGTTCTCACCTCCCCACACACCCTGGCAACCAATGTTCTACTTTCTGTCTCTATGCATTTGACTATTCTAGTCATTTAAGTGGAAATATAATACTTGTCCTTAAGAAAGTGTATATGAAAGGTATATTTCTTGAGAACATGCATATGTAAAAATGTCTCTGGGGTGCCTGGGTGACTCAGTCAGTTGAGTGTCTGACTCTCGATTTCGGCTCAGGTCATGATCCCAGGGTTACGGGAGCGGGCCCTGCATGGGGCTCCTTGCTGAGTGTGGAGCCTGCATAAGATTCGCTCTCTCTCTGCTCCACTCCCCAACTTGCACTTTCTCGCTTGTAAAAAAAAAAAAAAAAAAAAAAAAAAAAGTTTAAAAAATGTCTTTATTTCTCACTGATTGATAATTTGGCTGGATATATAAATTTGTGCTCGTTGTACTTTTCCCTTCTAATTTTGAAAGCACTGTTTCAGTATGATATACCAATTAGATCATGGACTCTGGAGACAGACTGCCTGGTTCCAATCCCAGCTCTTACCATTTATTAACTGTGCTATTTGGGCAAATTTGTACTTTGCTCCCTTGTACCTCAGATTTCTCACCTGTAAAATGGAGATCGTCATAGTACCTATGTCATAGGGCTGTTGTAAGGATGAACTGTAAAGCACTTACTTTAGTACAGTAGAGTTAAAGTCTACCCTGAATATCAGCCACCACTGCCTTCCAACTTCTGGTGTTGTCAAGGAGTCTGAAGCTGTTTTGATTCTTGATCCTTTCTAGGTTACTCATTTTCTTTTTCTTCAGAAGTGGCTAAAAGTCTATTTGTACCACTATTCTGACATTTCATAATGATGTTCTTTAGTGTAGGCTCATTTTAAATCATTTTTTCCTGAGCACTCAAGAGATTTTTTCAGTCAGGAAACTCATGTCATTCAATTTGGGGAGATCCCATTGATTAATGAAACAATTACGTATTTAAAAAAAAATTTTTTTTTCAACGTTTTTTTATTTATTTTTGGGACAGAGAGAGACAGAGCATGAACGGGAGAGGGGCAGAGAGAGAGGGAGACACAGAATCGGAAACAGGCTCCAGGCTCTGAGCCATCAGCCCAGAGCCCGACGCGGGGCTTGAACTCACGGACCGCGAGATCGTGACCTGGCTGAAGTCGGCCGCTTAACCAACTGCGCCACCCAGGCGTCCCAAAACAATTACGTATTTAATGATCCAGTCTTTCCTTTTTTCCCATGTATTTTCACCTGTATCTTTTATACCTTATATTTTCATATATTTAATGTTGAAGAGCTCTGCCTCGTTCTTATGTCCTTTTTTTAAAGATAGCCTGTTCTTGTTTGATAGATTCATATCTTCTTTTACCTCTCTGAGGATTGTAATTAAAAAACCACTTTTCCCCTGCTCCTTTTATAGTCTTCATTTTCTCTGTTTGTTCTTACCACATCTTTAATATTAGAATCTTCCTTCTAACATCTGGTGATTCTTGGTATCTGCCAAGTAGGCAGAAAAACACTGATTAGAAGCTCTGTGTGTGTGGATGGGGTTTGTCAATTGTGGGTTTCACCACGAAGCAGTTTTTTTTTTAATGTTTTTATTTATTTTTCGAAGGAGAGAGAGAGACAGAGTATGAATGGGGGAGGAGGAGAGAGGGAGACACAGAATTCGAAGCAGGCTCCAGGCTCTGAGCTGTCAGCACAGAGCCCGACTCGGGGCTCAAACTCACAGACTGTGAGATCATGACCTGAGCTGAAGTTGGTCGCTCAACAGACTGAGCCACCCAGGCGACCCTTACCACAAAGCAGTTTTACTGGATCTGATCAGGAGCTGTTCATGTCACAGAGAAGAAATCTTGCAATCTCCTCTCTGGAGGATGTATATCAGGCTTCCAGCCTGCTGGGAAAGAGGGTTTGGGCAGTATTTACATTTTAATTTCATCCTCTTGTTTTTTAATGCACTTTCCCTTTCTAGAAAGTAAGCCTTCAGTGTTTTTGCTGCCGTGGAGGACAGTAATCCAGCTGTAATGACCTGGAGAGGATATCTAATTACTCTTCAACAGATTTCCAACCAAAGCTCTGTTTTCTGCTCTGTTTCCCAGTTCTGTACTTCAAACTGGGATTCTCTTTTGGTGTTCATATCACTCATTTAGAAGTTGCTTTTGTGGGTCTTCTGTCAGTGCCACTAGACTTTTTTTTTTTTAAACAAGAAGGGAGCAATTGTTCATGCTGCTGTTTTCACTTTACTCACCAAGAACATCTTTCCAGGTCAATAAATATTCTCTGAACTATGTTAATAGACGTCTTGTATTCCTTCATATAAATGTGCCATTATTTATTTAATCAAGTTTTTACTGCTGGGCAAATTTGGGTTATTTCCAAATTCTTGGGGTGCCTAGGTGGGTCAGTCAGGTAGTGATTGACTCTTGATTTAGGCTCAGGTCATGATCTTGCATCTCTGTGCCGGTGGCACAGAGCCTGCTTGGGATTCTCTGTCTCCCTGTGTCTCTGCCCCTTCTGCACACACACACACACACACACACACACACACACACACACGCACTCTCTCAAAAATAAATAAATGAAACTTAAAAAAAGCCCTACAACAAATTCTTTATAAGCAAGAATGTGTTAAATGTTTTTGTTGCAAAAATTCTGTCTACACCCTTCATTATTTCCTCAAATTCAATTCACTGCTCCTTATGACAGTACCACTTTTGACAGGTCATTAATCCCATGAGGTGCTTTGTGAAATTATAAACTTTTTGCAAACAAACATGTTTGGGATTGCTGACATTCTGTGTGGGTCAGTTTAAAAAGCTCCACAGCTGATTTTGTTCTACAGTTCAGTTTGGAAACCACCACAATCACAGACTCACTCCTATTTTACCCAGGAAAGCTGTGCTCATTGAAGCCTGAGTGAAGCAGGAGAAAAACCGGCAGGTGTCTTCGTCCATGTGGGCTTGCTGTAACAGAATACCATAGACTCAGTGGCTTATAAACAACAGAGGTTTCACACAGTTCTGGAGGCTAGAATATCAAGGCACTTGATTTGGTGTTTGGTGAGAGCCCATTTCCTGGTTCAGAGGGTCATTTATTAGCTGTGTCTTCACATGGTGGGAGGGGTAAGAAGCTTTCTGCAGCCTCTTTTTATAAAGTCACTAATCCCATTAGGTTCTGCCTTCATGACCTGATCACCGCCCAAATGCCCCACCTCCAAATACCATGAGTGGGGATGAGGTCTCAACATGGATTTGGGGAGACACAAACATTAAGTCAGTAGCAGCACTGCAGGAGGATGTCTGGCTCAGGATGACAAATAGCCCAACGTTAGTAGAAGGCACGCAGCATAACCCACCTACTTTTTTATCATCAGGATGTGCTCGGGGGCCTATACGGTGGGAAGTAATGCCTTTGGAATAATTTTATTTAAACAAATCCACGAATTAAGGCACAGTTTGTTTGGAAGCCAAACTTTGTAGCCTACACTCCACAAAAAAAGAATGTTTAACACTGTTGAGAATTTTGAGGGAGGCCTCTAGATGGAAGAAACCACCATCATTTCAGCAATGTCAAATAAAGGGCCAAATCTATTAATTCTCAAGCCTTAATGAGCAGAAATCTCACTAGACAAGCTTCTTAAAATGCAGATTCCTGGGCTTCATGATTCTTAATCTAACTGGTCAGTGATAGCGTAGGCCCTAAATACTGAATCTGTAGTGAGGATCTCTGGAAATCGGATCCAGGTAGTCCCTGGACCACGATTTGACAAATTGGCTTTAGATAACGTTTCGCCAGGAATTACGAGGGTTGCTTGAATCTGAAAACATCTCTAGAATTCTCTTGTTAGCTGTCACAGGATCTCGGGATGGGGGGGGGGGGGCGCGGTGAGGCTGAGAAAACTTTTCCCCATCAAACAGGGCATCAAGGCCAGAAGGCACGCTGGTGATCCGGTTTGGAGTGGTTTTCATGGAGCTGAGTGTGCGGGCAAACGTTTGGGAAGTTAGGCCTTCTAACCGTCTGACCGACTGTTTCCTGGGGTTACTGAAAATTCATGCAACCCCTTTAGACAGCAAAGCTGTCGGTCTGGAAGCTACACAGAGCCTCGGAAAGGGCTTTTAAAAACAGTAATTAGACAAAAGGAAAAAACAAGTCGGCCTGCCCTTTGGTCCCAGGAAGAGGAAATGGCCGCTCAAAATTTGGAACCATAGTTTTGGGAGTCCCTGTTCTCTGCCCCTTAACTGTTTGTAACGTAATAACGCTCCCCTTTCTTTCAGGCCCGCGGTCCCTACTTTGAATAGCTCTAGAGTCTGATTAAGGCGCCCACACTCGGATCTCTGACCCGCACAAATAGCCGACCGCCCACCCCCTCACGGGCTGGGCCGGGAGTCGGGGTTCAGGCCGAGAGGGGTGAAAGTCTCCCAGGACTTTTCACTGCGCGCTTGAGAGGGGGCGCGGTCCTCGCCGGCCCAGTCCCGACGGCGGGTCGAAGGTCACGGGCGGAGAGGCCCGAGCCGCGCAGCCCCGAGTCTCCGACCGCAGCTCAGGATCCGGGCGCCGGGCTGCCGCGTGCTTGGCGGGCGCACGGAGCGCTCGGACCGCCGCACCCCGCGCCCCGCGCCGGGCCCACCCGCTCCCTGGAGACGCGAGCGCCATCGGCCGCCCACGGTAAGCGCCAGGTGCCCCGCGGACGTTCCGGAAGCCGGCGGCGAGCGAGCTCTGCGGCTCCGCCGGCTCCTCCGGCTCTTCCGCGCCCCGGCTTTCAAGCTCAGATCCGAGGCGGCTTCGCGGCTGCTCTTCCGCGCCTTCTCTTCCGCCGCGGGGCGAGCTGTGGTCCGGAGGCTTCCCCAGCGCGCGGACCACACTCCTGGGGCCCGGGCGCAGCGTCCCCCGCCCCCGGCCTCACTTTTTGCCCTTACACACTTGGCCCCGGCACAGACAGGCTGCGTGTCTTCCTTGACAAGTACGCCCCGTTTGCCCGGCCAGGACGAGCTGCCCGCTTTCTCTTTGGTCAGCTCACGAATCCCTTCTAGAAAACACACCGGAAGGGGGAGTTTTGGGCCAAGCGATGCCTTTTCTGTCCAAAACGCCCGCCTCCTGCACACCTGGTTTTAATAAGAGCCTAGGGAGAAATATGGCTAGGAGCCCGAAGGATCCCCAAGAAATTCCGTCCACAGAGAGAAAGAAGGGTGCACACGGGTTGCACGTGAGCAGACGCACTCAACTGTTACAAGGGTTTGTGAATACCTCGTGCACTTTTCAACTCTATTTGTAGTTGGGAGAGGATGTAAGTGGTAGTGATGTTGGAAATGGGATATTAACAGCAGTAAAAGCCACATTTATTAACACTGAAGACAGGAAGATGGCACAGTTATGCACAATGTATTCTTTTCTTTCCAGTTTTAATAACAAAACAGGAATTTTGAAAAACAACTGCCACCCCTTCCTGTACTCCCGCCGGCTTAATCCACGCGCACACGTATTTTTTTTTTTTTTTTTTTTACATAGTTGCAATTAGGGGTACATGGCCTTCTTACTTCAAATTCTGGAACAAGGGAGGTAGATTACATCCCGACAGAACGGATGTCTTCATTAGTTCTAGGAGAAAGATCTTTCAGTGCATGAGCTGGAAGTTAAAGATTGTATCATGCTTTCAACCTATATTACAAAAGTTTAAAGGATAGACATGAAAGGCTTTTTAAAAAGATCCTTGTGAGACACATAAATGTAAATATATATTCACACACATTCTTTTTGCATCTTCATTTAAAGCCAGGGACAATTTTTTTTCCCCAACATAGTACTTTGATCTTTATACTCTTAAGGAAATAACTACCCTGTACTAGAATTTTGAAAGCACTAGTTTTTCATCATTTTTTAACCCCCTAATGAGTATTTAATCAGAGGCCTCAGGGTCTTGCACTTCTGTTCTCTCTGCCTGGAATGCTTTTCCCTTGCCTTTGCTTTGCTAGCTCCTCCTTATTTAGATCTTAGCTCATATCCATTTCCGTGCCCACCCACATGCTTGGACAAGGATATTTTGTGTTTTTCAAAGCACTAACCACGATCTAAAATTATTAATTGATTATTCCTGGCCCCTCGCCTCGTAATGTAGGGGACATTGCTGTTTTACTTGCTGTTCTATCCCAGAGCCATATCCCCCACTCCCAGAGTCTGCCAGGACTGGTATTTAGTGACTAAATTTACTGAAAACCCAATCTTTGTAGTATAGTGTAGCCTTGGGAGCACTTGCTGAAATGTGACCCTGGAGGAAACATCTTTAGTCTCCTGTTCCCCACCCCTTTTTCCCCTTGGTGACTTGGGTGCAGCTGCTTTCTCATCTGCTGGCCCTTCTTGGGGCCCCACCCACAGTGACCCAGGCCAGCCCCAGGAAGTGGGCCCTGGAGGCAGATGGGGCCTCAGGCAGTTTTTCTGGGGCTGGATTTTGGACTGGAGAGTGGCTGGGATTCTCCCCCAGAGGCCTGGGACTGCTGGCCGCACAACCCCCCTGACCCTTTAGCACTTCCCAGTGCTTGGCTGTGCGCATGAGGCTCCAAGGTTCGTGGTGGGAGCTGTTCATGAAAGATGCTCTGTTATTGTTGGACTCCAGGCACAGGGAATAATTAGGGGGGTGACATGTGCTAAAGCAGAGGTCTTTCCTTGTGGGCTGGGCTACAAGGCTGCAACTGGCCTGCTTGCTGGCAAAGGCCGTGGATTCCTGCAGATTCCTACGTGGTTCACTTCTCAGAGGAAGCCTTGATGAGGAAGAGGCTGGGAGCGGGGGCAGAAAGTTCGGAATTTCCCGTGGTTCCTTGGGGATTGATTGTTGTAGAGAACCACCCGGCCAACACCAAGGTGAAGTGGCTGGGCCTGCTTGCCTTTCCTCAAGGCCCCATGCGGCTCCCAGGGGCTTGCAGGCTGCCTAGCCAGGGCCTGCATGTTGAATGGGCAGAGCCCGAACCCGCAGCTGTGGGAGGAACCGATGTTCTGGGAACTGTCGGGTGCCAGAGCAAGAAGCTTCTTAAGTTCCTCAGTGCTGAGCATGGTGCCTGGCACATGGTGGGTGTTTAGTAAGTGTTCGTTCAAGTATGAAGGATGAGAATGCCCTTAGCGCTGTGTTTCAAGCCTGAGTGTGTCCAAGAATGTAGACTCTGGAGGCTCACTGCCTGGGTTCAAATCCTGGCAGCTCCACTTATAAACTGTGAGCACACTATCATACTTCCCTGTGCCACACTCCGCATCTGCAGGATGCAGATAATAATGTTCTCCACTTCGTGGGGTTGTTGGGAGGTCGAGATGTGGACGTTTTGGAAAGTACATAGAGCAGAACCTGGTGCATAGCAATAGGGTTAGTGCTAAACAAAAATTAAAGATAAAATATGGAGAAGGTAACAGTTCCCTCATGGGGAATGGACAAGGAATGGAATCAGGGAGGGGCATATAAATTGTAATTGTCATTTTCTTAACCTGGGTGGGTACATAGGTTTTGTTATACTGCTATTCTTTATACTTTACAGATATAAATGCTTTAATAACTGTTCAATATATAAAACACTAAAAATTCAGTGTATCCTGTACTGCATTTTAACACACTGAAGACTATTGCAGCATTAATTTGTACAACCTATCTTATTCTTGAACAACCTTATGAGGGAAGAACTATATTATTTCCAGTTTGTAGATCCAGAAACTGAGGCTGAATAACTTGCTTAAGGTCTGCACCGTTAAAAATTTTTTTTAAAATATTTATTTCTGTTTTTGAGAGAGAGAGAGAGAGAGAGAGAGAGAGAGAGAGAGAGAGAGAGAGCACAAGTGGGAGAGGGAGAGAGAGGGGTAGGTACAGGATCCAAAGCAGGCTCCAGGCTCTGAGCCATCAGCATAGAGCCCAACGTGGGCCTCAAACCCATGAACCGTGAGATCATGACCTGAGCTGAAGTCAGATGCTTAACTGACAGAGCCACCCAGGTGCCCCAAGTCTGCACTGTTAAATAGGAAAGCCAGGATTTAAATCAGAGTCTGGGTTCTTAGTTCCTGTGTATGGCTTTCTTAACGTGTCACAGATACAGCAGGTTGCATCAGAGCTTTAAAAAAATGGAATTCATTACTCTGCCTATGTCCACTCACATAAACTTGCACACTGAGACTTAGCTGTCAGAATTTTCAGTCATGTGAAACCAAGTCAAAATACAGAAATAAGCTGGATACAGAAATAGCTGACTGCAAATGGCCACTCCTGACCCTCTACTTCAAATTTTATATTCATTGAAACAGCCTCCTATTCTCATAGTTCACTTAATAATAAGAAATGTTATACATTTTAATTTAAAATAAATGTATACAAAATGAGATGTCACTTATATGTGCTTTACTCTGTATATAGAGCACATATAAAATCTTTATAAAACATATATTGGGATTCCATCTAAGATTTCATTAGAAAAAAGGTCTGGGATGCAAGAAAGAAAAAAAGAAAATTGACTATCACTGGCTTAAGGGTATAACTGAGGTTTAGGAATTTGATGGTGTGTGTTAAATTGTTATTCAACATTTTTTAAATGCTTTTATGTATGAAGCATTGTGTTATGCACTTAGGAAAACTAAGAGATGATAGAACAGTTTGATATTCAAAGTTGTTTGTAGTCCTTCAATATGTAATACATTAATATATAGTTGACTTTTGAACTATAGGGGTTTGAACTGTGTGGGTTCACATATATGTGGATATTTTTCGGTAAATATAATACAGAACTGTAAATGTATTTTCCCTCCTTTAATAATGTTTTCTCTCTACTTGCTTTACTGTAAGAACACAGTATATAATATATATATGTGTATATATATATATGTAACATAACATACAAAATATGTGTTCATTGACAAAATCTGGTGTTTGTATGTTATCAGTAAAGCTTACATGGAATTTTGACTTCACAGGTTGGAACCCCTAACTCCTGTGTTGCTCAAGGGTCAACTGTACTATTGACCATTTTGGAACTTATGATACTATACCAAGCTGAGTGTATTATGAACTATGAGATTCCTATAATCAAAGCGTTTGGGAGAATTCAAGGAAAATGTCAGTGATTTCACAGTGTCAGCATTTGAGCTGAACTTCAAAGTTGGAAAAGACAAGGGGGAAAGGAGGGAGGCTCAAACCTGATTGAGGATGAACAAATGGCAGTGGAGGGAGGCAGGGTGTGATAGCAAGCCTTGAGGTCCATTCAGGGAATGGAAAATAGTTGACTATAGTGATAGGTTCTCTGTAGTGGGGATGCCTATAGGAGGGCAGGTTGGAAGAATTTCACATGCCAGACTAAGGGGTAGGTAATGGGGAGCCACCGAAGGTTTCTAAGCATAGTTGTGATAGGCTCAGTACTGTGATCTGGAACATTCTTCTGATACTTGCTGTTAAGAGGAAAGAAAACAGATATGAAGACCAGGGAGTAGGCTATTGGGATAGTCATAAGGATTTAAACTAGTATGATGGCAGGGGACAAGGAAAAAAAGGGTGATGGAAGAGGTATGGCTGGAGCTAAATTTATAGTTTGATGACTGATGGAATGTGTGGACAGAAGGAGAGGTAAAAAAAGACTAACCATTTGAGATTGGATGCCACTTACAAAATAGAGAAGTCAAGAGGGGGAGGAGCTGGGCATATTTTAAAAATGATGAATGGGTGAAGATCTGAGGAATTCAAATTTCTATTCTATAGGACTTCTCTGAGCCTTTAGAGAGAATGTATCATACGGCATTTCCCAGGTTGTCCACAGAAACCCCCTCTCCTCCTCCCTAAACTTCAAGTAAGAAGCAAGCCTAGTGCCTTGGACCTTTAACAACCCTAGTCCTACATTACAGCAAGGAAACATCATCCAGGAAGGACACTGTGTTCTGGAACCCAGGTGAGTTTGCATTTGCCTATCTCTTCAAGCAGTTTTTGTAGGTCCTATTTCATCATGCCTCTAATTTATAGCATAGGGAAAGTGTATTATAAGCTTTGAAGGAAAAAGGAGTGAGAATTTCACACTCCTGCCTGTAAGGTTGGGAAATCGTGGGGAAATTTTGAATTTTCTTGGCAATACTTCGCTCTTCCTTCTGAAGGCTTGGAGGAGGTGGAAGCTCTTTTCTGTTATTGATGCTCTGCTACAGCTCTTGCTTGTACATGGTTTCCTTTGGAACAGGTCCTTGGGTTTTGAGACATCATGTAGGCATTTTATACCAGATCATCCGAATTGACTCATGTTGAGGTCTGCCGCAAGCTGTTCCAAGTGACATTGAAGGACATGATTCCAGTTAAATCAAAGACTTCCCTTACTGGAAAGTCATCGCTGTGATTAAAAAAAATATGAAATTATATACATAATGTAAAAGTTAGCATTTCAGCTTTTAAGTATACAATTCAGTGGCGTGCAGCGTGTTCACATTATTGAGCAGCTATTACCACCATCCGTCTCCAGAACTTTTCCAACTCCCCAAACTGAAACCCCATACTCACTAAACAGTGACTCCATATTCCTCACTCCCCACCCACCCCTGGTGCCCACCATTCTATTTTCTCTTTATGAATTTGACTACTCTAGGGGCCTCATATAAGTGGAATCATACACTTTTATGTGGCTAGCTTACTTCACTTAGCATAATGTCTTCAAAATTCATCCACACTGTAGCATGGGTCAGAATTTCTTTTCCTTTTAAGGCTAAATAATACGCCATTGTATGGACAGACCGTACTTTTTTATCCATTTATGTGCCTATGGACCTTTGTGTTGTTTCCACTTCTCTGTGATCTTGATTCAGTTCTTAAAGTAGTCCCTGCATGGGATTTCCATACAAGTTGGAGATGCCTTTCAAGTTTGTTTTAGTTATGTTTGAGTTGATAATAGAAAATGACAAACCATCTCACTAAACCAAGATGTGAAATTGAGTTCATTAAACTTTAGAGAAAAAAAATACTCTCTAACCCAGACTTCAAGTGGATTTGGATAGCAACAGTTCTGTACTTGACTGGGGGGCTTGGCTTGGTCCCAGGAGCCCACCGGGGATGGACGGGCGCTAACTCTGCAGTTGAGAGATAAGTATTGGGGCTTTGCTGTGCTTTCCTACATCCTTGCAAAGCCTAAAGCTTTAGGGGTGGGGGGTGGTGGTGGGGAGGGAGCAGGGAGTAGTAGGTTGGCTTGACATCCAGGCCTAGACACCATGGTCAAGAATTCAGCTGTTGCCCAGGAACATGCTGCTTTGGAGGCCGCTATTGGTTCTTAGTTTTGAGTAGGGGCAACATTAGCAGAGGACTTTGGTGCAGTGTGGAGACAGGGAGAGACCACCAGAGTCCAGAGCTCAGCCCAGCTTCCCACACCACCCTTTCTCCTTCCCTGAGGACTTAGATTTAGGGAAAACAAAATAGTTTTGACTGAGTTATTAGGTTGGAATAATTTCAAGTCTAGTTTAATGAGTTTCTCATCCTCTGCCAGCCTTATAGGGAATCACTTTATCTTTTGAATTTACTGGTTCCCACATTGTATGCCTTGATGCCTTGGGGTGCTGCAGTAAACTTGCAGGGTGCCATGAGATATATTAAGTTTTTAAGGGAAACACAACTGTACTTGACATTTGTGGGATGCCCTAGAACTACTTGCTCGAGGTGTTCATAGTTTTAACATGAGATTGTGCTACGTTCCTTCCAATGGTGTCATATCTTTGTGAAGCTGGGTTTTTGGTGCAGCTGTGATAAAAACCGAGTGCCTAATGAAAATCAGTGTAGACTAGGAGATGAGAGCAGCGGTTTCCAATCTGATTCCAAAGTGTAAGAAGTCACACGGTGCCCAACAGGTATACACCATCCATTAAGAAGTAATTGTGACCATTTAAGAAAGAAAATTTGCTTTTTCTTCAATTTACATGTGTTCTTCTTTCAAATGGCCACTCAATTGTTAGGACATAAATACTTAGTAAATTGTTTGGACTTTAAAACTTATTAAATGGAACTGTTAAGCATTTCTTTCATCCAAGGGGTGCCATAAATTACTGAGACGCTAAGGGCACCTTGTATCACGAGAGTTTGGGATTCTTTGCTATAATTTATCAGAAAATTCCCGAAGTATTTACTTTTAAATATGTCAAGTATGGGACTGGAGATGAGGTAACAAGAGGAATAAAATAAACACTTTGCTTTGAGAATGGCTTTATTTATGTATTTTTGATTATAAAATTAATATGTATTGCCGGTTATTTTAAAAATCCAGAAAGATACAGAATAGAAAATAAGACCTCCATATTCCCATTCTCTGTTTCCCTCCCACCCCAGAAATAACAGCTATTAACATTTTGGTGAGTATTCTTCCTGACTTTTATTTCTCTCACATATATTTAAGATTAGATGTTATATAAAAATTGGATCATATATATTCTATTTTGCTTATTGCTTTTTAAAATTCACTATATCATAGCTATCTTTCCCTGTCAACATGAGTAGATTTGTAATCATACTTAATGCGTATATATTTACTTTAAACAGATTTACAAATAGACTTTCAAGAGAAAAAAGCCTCTCAATTCTAAAACCTAATTTATTACTGACTGGTTGAGTAGCTCAACCATGCCCCCTTGTGGCATGCTACGATATTTAACATTTTTCTCCGAAGAGTTGTGTGTAGGCCTTGTATTCTGGCATGGAAGATACAAAGGTGAATGAAATAAGATCTGTTTTAGAAGCTCACAGTCCATAAGAGGAGATGAAATGTATAATTAAGTAACTATGGGAGGACATAAAAAGTAATTAGGTATATCATAGGAGAGCTACATTTAAAACCCCCTTAGGAGCAAGGGGTTAGTCCATCTGTGAAGATTAAAGACTTCATGGCACATGATGGCAGCAGCAGCAACAACAATAATAACGGAAAACATTTACTGAGTTTTTAAGCCAGGCACGGCTCTTTGCACTTTTTATAGCAAAGATGGAATTTCTCTCTTTTAGGCTTTACACATGGGAAAGATTTCAACTCAGAGGGGTTACAAGGAGATGGAATGGGGCAGGGGTTAGTACACTATGTGGGGGAGCCGCAGGAACAAATGCAGGAGAGTCTGTACAGAGAGGACTAGGCCTTGCAGATTGCCTGGAGTGAAGTGGGAAACAACATTGAAAAGAGGCTAGTGCTTTGAATCCCAGTCTAAGGAATGTGACCTTAATTCTGTTGACAGGCATTGGTAACCAATGATTCAAGAGTTTTGATCAGGAGAGTAATTTTATCAGAGGGGGGCTTTTATTTTTTTTATTATTATTATTATTTTTAAAATATTAATGTTTATTTATTTTTTTTAAATTTTTTTTCAACGTTTATTTATTTTTTGGGGGACAGAGAGAGACAGAGCATGAACGGGGGAGGGGCAGAGAGAGAGGGAGACACAGAATCGGAAACAGGCTCCAGGCTCCAAGCCATCAGCCCAGAGCCGGACGCGGGGCTCAAACTCACGGACCGTGAGATCGTGACCTGGCTGAAGTCGGATGCTTAACCGACTGCGCCACCCAGGCGCCCCCAGAGGGGGGCTTTTAGAAGATTCACTTTTTCAGCAGCGTGAAAGATGAGAGGCTCATGGTGGAGTGGCCAGCCAAGAGGCTACTGCAATAGTCCAGGCAAGATACAGTGCCACTCTAGAGAGGTGCAGCAGCAAATGGAAAGGAGAAATGAAAACCTTAGTTAGGAAGGCAGCAATGAGAGGATCTCTTTCTTGAATTTCACAGGTTTATTACTGATATAAAGCCACGGTAACTTTCGTGAACTCTGAATGGAGGTCTTCCTACCCAATGGTTCATACGTGAGCTAAATAGATTGATTTACCAGTGTTTGCTGACTCGTTTCCTCCCTTTCCTCCAAGAAACTTGTTATTTTAGGGACACCGGCTAGAACATTATTCAGCATCCCATCTGGTAATTTTGACAGGGCCCAGGTCCTCTGGCAGGGCATACTATTCCTAGCCATTATCTAAATTTGTGATGGTGGCATGGTATTTCGAGAATGGTTTTTTCCAGTGAATATTAAAACAGAGGGAATTTGCTGAAGCAGAGCAAACAAGGGCTGGATTAGACCTGAGGAGCTGATTCTAAGGATGGGAGATAACTGGAATTGCATGATCAAGGGACTGCAGTGCAACTGCTTTGTGGCCAATTAAAAAGATGAGACAGTTGGGGAGCCTGGGTGGCTCAGTCGGTTAAGCGTCCAACTCTTGGTTTTGGCTCAGGCCATGATCTCATGGTTTGTGGGTTCAAGCACTGCATGGGGTTCAGGCACAGAGCCTGCTTGGGATTCTCTCCCTCCTGCTCTCTGTGTCCCTCCCGCACTCACTTTCTCTTTTTCTCAAAATAAATAAACTTCAAAAAAATATGAGAGAATTAAATTAGATGATGGGAGTTTAGCTTGTCTTCCAAAATAATCTATTTTATTTTATTTATAAATGTTTATCAAAGAAATCCAGCCTTTAATATTATAAGCACCTAGTTCAGTGATTCTCAAACAAGGTCACCCATTCATTGGTGAGCCATCAGGATCTTCTTGGTGGGCTCAAGCCCATCCCATAAATGAATAGGGTGTTATAATAAAAAGTAAGGTACATCAGCTCACATTTATCTCTACTAAAGCTAATAATAAACGATTCAGATATCTTCCTCCCAGTTCTTGGTTATCACCAGCTTTCCCCTGCCTATGTGGGAGTGTCCCTACATAGTCTGAGGGTCACTGATGTGGAAAGAAGTGATTATATTGATTGCTCTTCGTGCATTTCCCCAGTAACTAGTGAACTTCTCTGAACTTCATGGGTCCTCTGAAATACTGTTCCTTGAGAAGCTATCTTGAATTATGTCACATTTTAAGGATAAGTAAGTTGAGTGAGGGAAAGTTATGTCAGGTGTTTC